CCTCCCTAGGTCCTCCCTCCCACCACCCCCACACCCACACTCCCCTTCTCTCATCGCTAAATCCGGGGCGGTATACGAGCGCGCGCGCGCGCGCAAGACTTCTCTGCTCACAAGCCCTCGGGCACTTCCGCGAACCTCTCTGCTTTCATCACCGCCCTCTACTACTCCCGCTGATTACAATTTCCCTTCCCCGCAGACACCACCGCCTTCCCCCGCCCCCCCCACCGCCGCCGCCGGTCCCCGGGGAGGGCGAGAGCAGAGAGCCGGTAGCCTCGGCCCGCCACCAAGGAGTGAACGCCACTGGAGTCAAGAGATGTTCTCCATTTCACAATTACGCCCCGAGCCTAACTCCCACCTCTCTTTCTCTCCGTCTCTCTCGTTCCTCCGCCATCTACACCCCGCCATCTCCCCCCCCCCCCCCCTTCCGAGTCCCTCCGAGGAGCACGCCGAACAGGCTCGAAAATATCGAAAAGATCTCTCCAGAGGACCGTCCCCGTCCCGGCCAGGCACGTCTCAAAGGCCGACGGATAACAATCTCAGGTAAGGGACGCGCACACATACCGAGCTGTTTTTTGGGGGGCTACAGCATTAAGACGACGAGCTTGCTTGCCCTCGGGCCAGTCGGACGGACAGAGATGGAGATGGATAGAGAGGGGGTGGCCGCGAGCGCAACTTGTTTTTGAAATTTCGCAAGACGAAGATGTAATTTGAAATTAGACCCCAAGGTTGTGCGATGCTATCAAAACGTATTTACACTAAAAAAATAAAAAATAAAACCAGGAACAAAAAAATATAACAAAAAAAAAAAAAACATCAACATTGCGTTGCACCTAGACAGCGTAGAAAATTATCATCACTGTTGTTTTTAATTTGAACGGAGGCCGAAACGGCAGGGCGGACCGAAATAAAAGCAAGAAAACTCTTACAATTACGTAAATGACTACTTGCAGCAGTGTAATGGCGCCAGGGGAGGGGGGGCGGAGCGGGTGAAAGGGCAGAAGAGCTCCGCAGGACACGGGCGGGCGAGGGGGGACGGAAAATAGCAGCACGCACTGCTCGCTCGCTCATCTCCACTCTCCTTAGATATGACCACTCCGATAAGCGCGTCCTCCGAGCGGGGCTGGTGAGGGAGGGAGAGGATGAGGCGGAGAGAAAAAAAGAGAGGAGTGGGGGACGGCAAAGAAAGAAAGAGGAAAAAAATATAACGTAACAAGACGTCGCAGATCGGAGGTGGTTGATAAGGCTCCTGAAATCAGTGAAACGAAACGTATCAAGTAAAACCCAAGATTATCATTTTCAGTTCAATTTGCCCCAAACAGTTAATCTTTACAGAATTGATACAGGTAGGAAATTATTAATTTATTACAGAAATACAAAACAAGCTAAAGAAAAAGAGAGATATTTTTCTTGCACAACAGCACAGAAGCCCTACCAGTAAAATTTAAATTAAGGCATTCGCCTAACGGTGTAGGCCGCCCCTGCGAGATAACCCTTCTCCCGAGCTCCCCTGCCCCTTCGCCCTCCCCACTCAGTTGGACCTCTTCACACTTTTTCCCTAGACAACTAGCGGGGCGCGCTCATTCCACGGCAGCAGCCGAGGAGGGGGGAGGGAAGGGAGGGGGTGGGGAGGGGGGTTGGAGGAGGAGCAAGGGCGCTTGCAACAAAAGGCGCCACTGCTGCATTGTCCCCGTGCAAACACGGGCACTGCAGCGCCGCCACCCCGCCGGCTTGAAAACATGTTTATTAGTCATCACGTGCTATCTCGGACCACCCACGGCCCTTCCGTCCCCGCCGTCCTCGTCGTCCTCGTCTTCGTCCTCCCCTCCGCATTCAGGACGAGGCGCATAGTGACTATCAATAATAGCGTGTGGTGCACCACAGCTCGGCTCGCTCCGTCCGGGCGCCTGGCAGGTAGGCAGCGCGGGGGCGCGCGTGTGCGCGCGTAGCCTACTCTGCAGGCGGGCGCTCCTGCCGGGTAGGGTAAGACCGGAGAGACAAGGACGTACCCCATGCATTTCTTTCATACGAAGACGCTGCTTACAAACCAAGAGGACGTCGTTCTGCCCGAGGAGTTGCTTTATTTCCCACAAAAGCGCATCCCGGTGGTTTCTCAGTTTAGTCGTTCGGTATAGCGTTCTCGTAACATCAGTTTTTTTTTCCTTTTTTTATGGACGCAGGGCAGATATACTTACGGCGATGTCTAACCGCGTCCGTCCGCCATGATATTGTGTCCCGCACGCCTGTAAAAACAAAAGGCACGAGTTAAAAACAGAAAACACGCCATTCCGTGCTCAATACTTAAGAAGGTGGTATGGAGAGGAGGCTCAAGTGCCGGACTCCAACTGAGCGAGGTTGAAACGACACTGCCTCCTCCTCGGGGAGCCCGTGGGCCGAACAGGTACGGTGAACAAGACACTCGGCAGAGCCGTCGGCCGCGCGGCCGGGGCGGGGCCGCGAGCAGCCAGGAGGGAGATGTTAGGGAAAGAAAGGCGGCCGCGGGGGCTTTTGGGGGGCTCGAAGAGAGGAGCTCGGCGCAAAGCGCGCCGATTTCCATCCAAATGGTTTTGTTTCCCCGAGTTGTCTCCGCGAAATGGTCCATTTGCATCGGGAGCGGGCCCCCCACCTCTCTTTTGATGTGTACCGCGCTGCGCGGCGTCATGACCTATTCGGGCAGCCCCGCTGTCTTTGCGCTGACCTTATCTGATACGCCATTTAACGACGAACCAGGTCAAGCTGTAAATCAGGGAAGAGCAGGCGACGCCCTGGCAAGGGTGCACGCCGCGGCCTACCCAGCCAGGTGTGTCCTATACACGACAAAGAAAAAATGGGAGCAGGAAACAGGTGCGTTTTAGCAGTTTTTGTGGAAAAGTGGAAAAGATTAGATACAGAAAGATCTAAATTCTGTACGGCTAAACATAAAGACGGAAGATTTCGTCAAAGTACCTGCAGTCTGCTGCCAAACTAAGTCCTGCCCATCGCACACAAAACTATGCACGCTATGAAATTAATACGGTAACGAACGACAGGAACGATCATAATAAAAGGTTAACAAAATAATTGTTCAAGTCGTTTTGCCATGTGTATCACATTTAAACCTGTAAAGCGCGCGCGTCCCACGCCACAGCCGCACACTGATATTAAAGGAGCAAGTTGCAGCTCGGGTCCCATGCGGGGAATGAGGAGAGGCGTCGACGTGCGAAGTTATTGCGTCGACTGTCTCCGTCGCACTTCGGCTCACTCTGCGCGGGCCTGTGGGGGTGGGAGGGAGACAGAGCGCATCGCACGCACGCAGCCCCCTGGAGGAGGCGCGGGACACGGCCATCTCACATTCCAAAGTGGAGTCTTCATACCCTCTTCTCGCCGCCACCGCCGCCACCACCGCCGCCCCCGCCGCCCCCCGCACCACCATCTTTGTGAAATTAAGGACCCTTATTCTTTCCACAGCCTTGCTATATTCCTCCTGAGAAAAATTGCTCCGCCGCCTTTATTATGCTTGTTCGTTTTATTTCTTTCAATTTTGGGGCGGCGGCGGCGGCGGCGGCACCGCGTCCCCGCTCAGCCTCCCGCAATGTGGCCGGGGGACAAATTCTTTGGTCGCGTGTGCGGGAGGTGTGGCGAGAAAGAGAAAGATTGAGAGAGGGGGGAGAGAGACAGAGAGGAAAAGAGAGAGAGGGGGAGAGCTTAGGCGTTATTTCAAAAGTGAGAAATGAGAAGAAACTCACACAAACATACGGTTACACTCCGTGGGAGGAAATGTAATATCCACGAAGGGCAGAATTCCGCAGATATGTTCCGCTACAGCACAGACCAATTTGTTTTCTGTCTTCCCTTTTTGATATCTTCGTATATAGATCTGAGGTATGATTTTGCCGGGAGTCACAATAGGCGGCTCTGGCAGCCGTCATTACATACCGCTGCGGGAAGACGGGGGGAGGACCATGCCACCTTGGTCTGCAGCGGACGGCCACGGCCTCTACCCAGTCTGGAGGCCTTTCGGCCACGGGAGGGAAAAAAAAGAAAGTTTCCGAAGAAGTGAAAGTCGGTTTTAAAGGTGTATGATTTACGGCGAACCCTTCTCCTCCTGAATCTGAAATCCTCTTTGTCCGAGGGACGCCAGCGGTGGCGGCCGGGCCGGGCTGGGCACGGTCCACAGGGACCTCGAGTGCAGATCTCCGAGGAAGCAGGGGAGGTTGTTGAGAGAGAGGGAGAGAGAGAGAGAGAGAGAGAGAGAGAGAGAGAGAGAGAGAGAGACGCAGAGATATAGAGAGTCCTTGGCCAAACCAGGTACAGACTCAACCATACATACAGCAGGCGAGCCCTTGGCGGGGAGCAGGACGTCATAAGCGGTTATTGAATTTGGCGGGTAATTTGAAACGCACACAGGCGCGCAGTCGGGGCAGGCCGAGGAGCACCTCGCCAGAGGGTGGGGTGCTCGAGCTCAGCAGGCTCGTGCTCACTCCATGCGCGCTGCTTCGATTCCGAGCCGTCACTCTGAATAGAATCAGCGCGCGACCCCGCTTTCGGCTTGCCGCCCTGATTTAGGGATGATGGTGAGGGGGGGGGGGTGAGAGTACAGCGAATGTAGTCGGGTTATCGCTGAGCGAAGCTCAGTCCAAGTTGCTGAGGGGTCAGGCGTTGTCTCGGTCGTGAGTCTGTCTGTCCGTGTGTACGTTCGTCTTTTTCTCGAAAACGGCGGCACCTATGACGGAATGCGAGTTTGCCTAAACATCTATAATTTAAGGGAGACCCAGTCTCCCCTTTTCGTTCGCAACGGACTAATTTGAAATATTTGGTCCTTT